ATAAAATTCTGATCTAGTAAACAAACTGCTGAATTTCTAAAGGGTGATTAAAAGAAAACAACAAAGGCAAGACTTTTCCATGTTTGTTTTGTTTCTGTCTCTGGATAATGACCTGTCAGTAACCATTTGGAATCTAAAGTCTTATGTAACAAACTCTGTAACTTGTGATCAACACAAAGATTTCCACTGTAAATCTCCAAAATGTTCTCAAAGGTTCTTCTCAAAGTTGCAGATGAAATAATGGGATATTACAAGGTGAACAATCAGAGAGGTATTTGTGGTTCCCCTGTACTGATATCCTTGCCATTTTCCAAGGAAGGGTAAGTGAAGACAGCCTCTCTAACAGCCCTACAATCTGCACAATTGGAGGTTTGGATCAGTAGGTAAAGTGTCAGCCAATGAGCAAAATCTCAGGTACCAAGTTTGAGTCCTGGTCTCACAACAACAAAACATAATCCTCAGAATTTATGGAGGAGATCAGATAATCTTGACCTTCTTCACTCTACTCCTCAACTGTTCTTCTCCCATCTCCTTCCCCTTCCCCTGCCCTCTCAAACCTTTCCTTTTTTTTCTGTACCCCCAAATTTTTTTTGTTTTTTTTTTTGGGGGGGGGGTCCGGTCATGGGGCCTGAACTCTGGGCCTGAGCACTGTCCCTCAGCTCTTCAGCTCAAAGCTAGTGCTCTACCACTTGAGCCACAGCGCCACTTCTGGCTTTTTTCTTTTTGCTTATGTGGTGCTGAGGAATCAAACCCAGGGCCTCAGGCATGCAAGGCAAGCGCTCTACCACTGATCCAACTTCCCAGCCCCTGTACCCCAAAATTTGCATTTGAAGAGTCTTAAACCCTATTTCCTGCCTGAAGAGCTGGAAATCTCTCTCTCTCTGTCTGTCTGTCTGTCTGTCTGTCTCTCTCTCTCTCTCTCTCTCTCTCTTTCTCTTTCTCTCTGTGTCTTGAGACTTAAACTCAGGGCTTGAGTACTGTGACTGAGCTTTTTTGTGCTCAAGGCCAGAGCTCTACCACCACCTGAGTCACAGCTATATTTCCAGCTTTTTTAGAGGTTCATTGGAGATAAGAGTCTCATAGACTTTCCTATCCAAGCCATCTTCAGAACATGATCCTCAGATCTCAGCCTCCTAAGTAGCTAGGATTACAGGTAAGAGCCGTGTGCATACATGCTCTCTCTCTCTTTCTCATTCTCCCTATCTTCCTCCCCCCTCTCGCTCTTAAACTCCTTACTTCAAATAAAAGATTGTATTTGCAAAAAACTATTTCATTAGTATGAATTTTTTTTTGTCAGTAATGGAGCTTGAACTCTGGGCCTGGGTGCTGTCCCTCAGCTCTGCAGCTCAAGGCAAATGCTCTACCACTTGAGCCACAACACTTTCAGTTTTCTGGTTGTTTATTGGAGATAACAGTTTAACAGACTTTCCTGCCCAGGCTGGCTTTGAACCACGATCCTCAGATCTCAGCCTCCTGAGTGGCTAGGTGGCATGAGCCACCAGTGCCTGGCTAATTAATAAGAACCTATTAAGTTTTTTGGCGTTTATTTTTAATAGTGTATTTAGTTCAATGTAAAGATCTTTGATGTATTATGTGTAGTTTTTTTCCATTTATACGTATATTTCACTCGATTTTTAGACAGGTTTTTAAAAAATATTTTAAATGCATTTAATGTTTAGCTTCACAATAAAATATTGGCATTATTAGTTTTGTTCTAGTATCATCATTTCAATGAATACACATTTGGATTCATGAATTATACACATCTCAATTTTACTGAAATGTGGTCCAATTGTTCTTAAAGACATTATACTGTCATCCATAGTTCATTACATTTCCTGTGGATCCTCATCACAACCAGTATTTTGCATTAGCAAATTCTTGCATCTCCTCCAGTCTGGTAGAAAGTGAGATGCAATGGTTGTTTAGCCCATATTTGCCTGATTTATGGCAAATGGTGACATCTTTTCATGTTTACTGCCATTCTCTTTGTCTTTTTCTTATTGTACATTGCTGTTCTCACTTTGTATTAGTGCTATAATTCTCTTCTCCCAATCTATGAAGTTTTCCACTTTATTAATAGTACATTTAGGTAAATACAAGTTTTAATTTTTAAGAAATTGAATTGATTCATCTTTCCAATGGCTTGTGTTTTTGTGATAGAAAAACGTGTTTCTTCACTTGAGGTAATTATGTTGTTCACTTACATTTATTTCTCCAAGTTTCATATTTTTCTTTTTCTATAATTGTTTTCAATTAGAGTATGAAGTAGGAATCCAGTTTTATCTGTTTCTACCTGAAAATATTAGCATTTAATAAACAATCCCTTCTCTCCCTCCCCACCAATCTGCTATGCTGGGTCCCTCTTATAGCAAGCATTCACACACACCTGGGTGTGTTACTGAGCTATTGTATGCTTTTAATGCTTTGTTCTGCCTTGGAACCAAAATCTCATTATCTCAACTATAGCTTCACTTAAGAAAAACTTCTAAGATCTATTAAGACAGAACCACCACCGTATGAATATACTCCCACATGTTTTCTTCTCCAAAATTGACCTGATATTTAAAGCTTAGGCTTTTGTGCAGAGCTGACATGATCTGATTCACAGTTTTAAAAAGGACTATCAAGAACTATTCTTGTGTTAAGAATAGTAATGATGAGACAGAGGGAAGGATTGCTGGAACTATGCCCTGGAAGAGATGAAAGGGAATGAGCTTCCAGTGGAGACAGGAGGGATTAGCTCTGAAGAGCAGCACACATAGCTCTTCTATAATAATGGTAGGATGAATGCGGATGCTGGAGGTGTGGTGTTGACTGTGTGGGAATTGTCTATCAATTGCTTTCATCTTCTCAGTGATGTCATCAATTAAGAATGTAGATGGGAAGGCAGATGGTAAGGTTTAAGGAGAAAGGACAAGGTATAAGATCTTTTTTAGGGGGGATGGGAAGGTAGCTCAGTGGTAGAGCGCTTGCCTTGCATGCGTGAGGCCCTGGGTTCGATTCCTCAGCACCACATAAGCAAAAAGAAAAAAGCCGGGGGCTGGGAAGTTGGCTCAGTGGTAGAGCGCTTGCCTTGCATGCCTGAGGCCCTGGGTTCGATTCCTTAGCACCACATAAGCAAAAAGAAAAAAAAGCCGGAAGTGGTGCTGTGGCTCAAGTGGTAGAGCGCTAGCCTTGAGCTGAAGAGCTGAGGGACAGCGCCCAGACCCAGAGTTCAGGCCCCACGACCGGACCCAAAAAAAAAAAAGATCTTTTTAGGAGACAAGGAAGTGAATGATTTCCAGAAAGCATTAAAAGTTAAAACCAGTCTATATGGCTGTTTGTCACTAATCAAGCAGAGGCAGAGCTGGATTTAAACAGCGTTCTGGTTTGGTAATGTTAGACTCGAACTCAAGACCCCCGAGAGACCCCCAGAGACCAAGACCAATATAATAGGCAAAAGAGTCGTTTATTACAAGCTCGAGCTTGGTCCTTCTCGAACTTGGTAACCGGTGACGCTAAGAGGCCCCAAGCACAAAATCAGTACAGCTTTTATACTATTGAACAAACAAGTTTAGGGGGTTGCTACACAAGCAGTTACATGATTGGTTAACATTTACAGAAGTGGTTTTGTCAGTTTCCCATTGTCCCACGTACTGAGGTTTGAATGCGGCCTGACCATACTTACTGCCTTTTTTAGAAACTTTTTGTGTTTCTTGGCTGTTTCTCAACCCTTGTCTAATTCTCAACCCTTGCTAGGGGTATAATTGCGGTTTCGATTGCAGGCTTTCTGAGAACTTTCCAATAACTGGTTTTTCTGATAACTGTTTGTCCCTTAAATTCAACTTAAGGTCAGTTTTACATGAAATGGTGGCTTGCTCTTAAAATGGAGTTAGTTTAGTCCTTCAGAAACTGAATAAAGAATAATAAAGGAACTGCAGGTATATCCTTACAATGAGGTTATAGAAATAATGCCATTATAAATAGAAAGTGTAAAAAAGAAATGCCCTTAATACATCTAAACTGTGGATCCCACACCTTAGCACACTATAGAGTGCTATTGTTCACTCTTATTGACTGAGAGCTGTGGCTCACTACCACTGCCTATTTTTGGGTAGATAGAATAGTAACAAAATTGATCATTAATTCAAAATTTGAGGCTATAAATAGGGTCTCACTATGCCAATCAAGCTGGTCTCAACTCATGATGCTCCTACTTCTTCCTCCTAACTGCTGTTATTACAGTATGAACACCACACCCAGCTTGAAGCATGGTTTTTATTGAATGTATGTTGCTTTCACACTCATCCTAAAGTCAAAAGAATCAAAGTGGAGAATACTAAATCAAACTATGCCACACATACATTTATCTTTTATACACACCATTACCACTGAAGCTGGAGAAGGAGGAAGTGAAGACATGTATGAGGAACCATGAAAAATGGACAAATCAATAGACTAGAAGGCCATAGGTCACTGAGACCTACGTGAAAGAACTGAGTGAAGGATGAAGACCAAGAAGCTGTAAATTTCTTCTCCTCTTTGTTAGAGCCTAGACTTCCATCATCACAACAGAGCTCCCTGTTCTGAAACCCCACGTCTTGAAAATTCCCACAGATGAGAGGGCCTGAGATCCCTCAGTTTCTCTTAGAGATTTGAGACAGGAAAATAAAAGCATTGCATAGAAAATGCAATGGCATGCTGAAACAAGGATACAAGGTAACCCCTTGTAACAATGAGATGTACAAGACACTATGTTGAAAATGAACTTTACAACTTCGGGGTGGGGAGAGGGAGGAGTTGGGGAGGAAGGGGGGAAGGGATGATAGGGGAAAAACAAAGGAGGGGGTAACTATGCTCTTTAGGAAATGTACTCATTACCTTATTCATGCAATTGTAACTCCTCTGTACAGTATCTTTACAATAAAAAAGAATGAACATAAAAGAAAATGCAATGGCAGTTGTTAAATAGATTTTCATAAAACAACACTATGATTCAGAAAGTCCTCTTTCCACAGGTTTAAACATTTTGTCTATACATACCGAATCTTCAGAGAGAAACATGGATATTACAAGATTCAGGTAAGAATGCCAAAAGAATGCAAAGGTTAGGAGAGAGAACTTGAGATCTTCTCCTGACCATTGGAAGTAGTCATACCAAGGCATTCTAAGGGAATTCTGGGAGAAGTTCCCTGCAGGGTTAGGAATCAGATCAACAGTTAGCTTTGTCTTTCTCTGAGAAAAATAGAAAGGACTTAATACTGGCTTACGCACTGTCATTCAAGAAGTCAGAGTCACACAATGCTGCTATTCCAATAATCAAATGTGCCAACCTGTGCTCCATTAAAAAAAAACAAACTGTTGTTACATGAAAAAAAATAAGAATGGTGCTGGATGAGACTGGGAAAGGAAGGTGAGGGAAGAGGTCTGAGTGTTCAGGAAGTCATTTGTGTTCTACAGTTGTCTGAAAATAGGACAGGGAACTAAGTCTTAGGGAGTTGTTTTAAGTTTTCTGGTGGAAATGAAACAGGAAAGCCTTTCTGCTTCTTTTGAATTTAGTTATCCAGCTTAAGAAATAAATCATAATACATGTAATTTAATTTTTTTTAGTTACAAATGAAGTTCTGAAATAATCTTTCCAGAAAAGTTGCTTACAAAATGGCTTTTTTACTACAAAATTTTTTAGGATCTTCAATATGAGCATGTTTACTGTAACTATCTGAATGACTAGAATACACAATGATCTTCAAATAAGTATATGATTTTTCCTTTTGCTATTCACAAACAATATTTAAATAAGATTAACCAAAAATACTGCAACAAGATTAACTTTCTGATTTTGATCATTGTAATGTAATGACTTTACTTTTTAGAAAATACTAAAGTATGGCCAAGTATTGGTGGCTCATGCCTGTAATTCTAGCGACTCAGGAGACTGAGATCTGAGGATCACTGTTCTAAGCCGGCCTGGGCAGAGAAGTTCCCATGAGACTCTTTTATCTCCAATTAACCACTCAAAAACTAGAAGTGGTGCCGTGGCTCCAAGTAGTAGAGTGCTAGCCTTGCACACAAAAAACTCAGGGACAGCACCCAGGCCCTGAGTTCAAGCCCCATGACCCCCCAAAAAAAAAACCTAGAGAGTTGGGAATCCCTTGACTGGAAGTCTTCCTTAGTCAAGTCAGAGGTTGGTCTTAAAGAAGCAAATTTCTGTGAAATGCCTGTGGAGCTGAATGCTTACACATGAGCTACTGGCCTTTTATTTTCAGTTCATCAGCTCTCAGAGAGAGCCCTGTAAACCACTGTTGCAAAAGGTGACACAATTCCCACACAATTGCACAATGACGAGTGCCCTTTATTCTATTTTTTGCAGACTGTGGAAGGGGCTCCAGAACAAATCTTTCCAAACTTAAAGGAATTAATCTCCAAATATGAAAAACCAAACCAAGGGCTGGTGATTCACCTCTTATACCCAGTAAACAGAAGCAGCTTCTGCCCAAGAAAGAGAAGAATACAGTTAAATGGTATTTATGTTCAAAGTCTTCACAAAAGAATCCTGATTCTAGTGGCTCAAGTGGTAGAGCGCTCGCCTTGAGCTGAAGAGCTGAGGGACAGCGCCCAGGCCCAGAGTTCAAGCCCCACGGCCAACCAAAAAAAAAAAAAAAAAAAAGAATCCTGATTCTATCTTCACCAGGGCTCTGCACTGGAGAGTCAGTGCAAAGACAGAAATGTCCTTTGCTGTGACATCACCTCTGAAAACACTTCATCCTGTAAAAGGAACTTCTATTTCATTGAAAAATGATGTCTTCTAGCCCTTGCAGGTGGCCAAGACAGAGTTGTTTGTGCTTAGCCAGGATAGCAAGTGGTTTATGGACAAAAAGTTGATGGTGAATTTATCTGTGACTTAGTATAATTCATCTGTTTGAGATAAATGAAAATATGAGCAGGTTTCATTGAGAATAACACTTCAACTTCCTCCGTAAGGCTTATTCTGTTCATTTTGCTTAACATTTGCTAAGCATTCTTTATGAAGTAATGGATGACAAATCATTTCCAATATATCCCTCAAGGCATAAGGCCATTAAGGAGGATGAGAGATGATTAGTGAATTGGAGGGCAACCTATATTTAGAATTCTCAGATCACATCATGAGTTTACCTTCATGTGTGAAGTCTGTCCTCTGAAAAGAGTCTAGTATCTGAACTGCATTATATCTTTAAAAGAAAAACATTTTAAAATTACCTTTAAGTAGTTTACAAGGGGCTTCAATTCAACATGTCAGTTTATAATGCATCTTGATCAATTTCACCCTGCTATTGTTCTTCCCTATTAGTTGTATTTTGAACTGAACTCAGATGGTTAGAGACAACATTCCTGGTTTAATTTTTATCGCTCTTGGTGGAAATGTATGGCTACATTCTCATTACTATCACCATTGAAGCCGGAGAAGAAGGAAGTGAAGACATGTATGAGGAGCCATGAAAAATGGATAAATCAATAGACTAGAAGGCCACAGGTCACTGAGACCTACGTGAAAGAACTGAGCGAAGGATGAAGACCAAGAAGCTGTAAATTTCTTCTCCTCTTTGCTAGAGCCTAGACTTCCATCATCACAACAGAGCTCCCTGTTGTGAAACCCCATGTCTTAAAAATTCCCACAGTTGAGAGGACCATTTATTGGGGGATGACAGTGATGAGAACTCATTTCTAACTAAGGGGAGTGAGAAAAGACAGAGTTCTCAGGTAGCTGCCCCCCACTACATACCTCATCTCTTTAGTTTGGAGCAAGAACCCCTGTAGGCTGCCACAGTAAGCTTCATATCTCCCCAACAAGATGAAGTATGGAATTCTAAAGACTAAAACCTCTCCCACCCCCCCCCGCATCATTTCCATCCTGTCACTACCTGCAAGGGAGCATATACCTGACAGAAACACAACCACTTTTTGTAGATCAGATGCAGACATAGTTCTAACAGCTATCTCCCCACCCCCCAAACTTTTAGAATTCAGACACATAAAAGAGGCATCAAAGCAGCTGTACTGCAACACTTGGGCAAATCCATATGTGTTGCTGGAGGTGATGGGTAGTAGAAACATCTAAGCAATGATATAAAACTTACAAACCCAGGAGGAAAAAAAACCCTCAGATGTTCCCCCAAGAATTAGGTGAGCATTTTACTATGCCCATTCCTGGTGTACACTGGCAGAGAGAACTCTAAATACTCAGCCACCCAAGGCCCAGATCTGCCCTTCAACCTCACCTTTTCCCTCCACTTTCTTGTCTTTGCAATCATATCTAGAGCTCAGAGCAAGCTCCAGAAAATAACAATTATTCTGAGGAAAGCTTACCAGTGGTAAATATAGATATTTGGTCCTAGAAAGTAAGACTTAGCTTCTACAAGAACTCTCCATTTTTATTTTTTGTCAGTCATGGGGCTTGAACTCAGGGCCTGGACACTCTCCCTGAGTAGTATTCTACCACTTTGAGCCACGGCTCCATATCTGGTTTTCTGGTGGTTAATTGGCAGCAAGAATCTCACAGACTTTCTTGCCCAAGCTGGCTTCCTCAGATCTCAGCTTCCTGAGTAGCCAGGATTACAGGCATGAGCCACCAGTGCCTGGCCAATAACTCTCAATTTTGCCATAAAAAAGCTCTCAGTGATACTCTAGTCTTTGAAGATATCACTTTGATTTCTTTGTACCTGTGTTCCTTTTCCTTGAGGGGGATTGATTGATGTGACTTCTAGGTGTCCAGTCTCACAGATGTCCTTTGTTTCTCTCCCTCCAGAGAACAATGATTATGTGGATGTCTTGCCTTGAAGATATGAAGACAAAACGAAACAAGTTAGATAAGAGATGAAGCACACAGCTCAGTGTGGCAACCACTTCTCTTACAGGTGCAGGTCTGGAACGCCAAATTCTAATGGACAGTTGAGACTCTTCAGGTCTGAATAACTGAAAAATCTTCTGTCTAGTATCCCCAGAAAAGTCACTTCCCATATCATTGTTGACTCCCTGGCATATACTGCAAGATGTTCCAAGTCCCTCTTCACTTGTCCCTCTTCTTTCGTGGAATGGAAGAGCTGAGCCTATTCTCCAGAACTTGCCAAAGGTCAAGGAGAGACATCATGGTTGACATCCTCCTTTTGACAGGTCAATCATAAGGGTAGCCTCAAACAGAGAAAAGAGCATTCAGGAACAAATTCAGAGCTGTGAGTTCGAGTCCTGTGGGTTTGTGATTTTTGGACAAACCACTCCCTTTCTCTAGGTCTGCTTTGATTATCTATGAGTGGGTTGGCAGAGTGATATGTACTAGCCCAGTCTCTGTGTTATGCCTGGTTGGGTCAGTTGGAGTTGGGGAATCCAGGACTGATAGAAATGCAGCAGGTCAGTAACAGATAAGGTCTCAGCCTCCTACACAGCCAACACCTTCTCTGCACTGCCTGTTCTGGGTCTAGGTCCTGGTAAGGGTCATGACTCACTCACTCATGCTCCCTTCCTCCATCTGCCTGGGTTATTCTCTCTCCACTCTCTTCTAATTTTGATCTTCCTGCCAAATATTGCCCTGGACACTTTTTCTGATTTTGCCAATTCCACTTCAGCAGCAGGGATGTGGTTCTGTAAGCTGTATATTTGTGGGTATAGTATTTTTAATTTAAAGACACTCTCCTATGGGCGCTCTTGTAACCTCCTATATTCTAAGTGCCATAAGAGCATGGCTGAGTATTTTAGAGACTCCAGTATGTAGAAATATTTGCTGTGTAGGACAGTGCCCCATTCTTAGGAATTAGTGATTAGAAGCATGTTTCCAAAGGATTGATTGGTTAACTTCTACAACTTCAAGTTTTTCTTCTAGTTCCAACTGTTAATTAAAACATTGCTAGAGGCCAAGCCTGATGGTGCACATCTGTAAACCCAGATACTTAGGATCAGAGGTGGATCAAGATTTTAACACTGACTCAGCTATGCAAGGCCTTATCTCAGAGAGAGAGAGAGAGAAACAAAAACAGAGACAGAGACAGAGAGAATAAAGAAAGAGAGGAGAAGAAGAGAAGAGGGGAGGAGGAGAAGAGAGGGAAAAGGAGGGGAGGGAAGGAGAGAGGGGAAGAGGGGAGAGGAGAGAAAAGGGTAGAGTGGGGAGGGGAGCAGAGAAAACAGGGAAGGGGAGGGGAAGAGAGGAGAGGGGAGGGGAGGGGAGAGAAGAGGGGAGGGGAGGAGAGGGGAGGGGTGGGGAGAGAACTATTTTGGAATATAACAAGTTTTATGCTCTTTATCTTCAAACTTTAATTGTTCATTTTATCCCCCTGATTTTGATTCTATTGTTTTCCCATAAATTATTTTGTCAGTTATAAATACTAAAATTTGTTCTCTATTTTTAATTATTTTTTTTTGAAAATTATTGTTTGGGGGTAGTACTGGGCTTTGAATGCAAGACCTTGTACTTGTTAGGTAGGCACTCTACCACTGAGCCACATCTCTAACTAATTCTCTTAAGTACTGACGCTTTTTATCCATACTTCGTGTTTACTCCAGTGGCTTCCAGTAGTCAGGAGAGTGGATACTCCTGTATTCATCCTGATGTTTCAGGGGTTAATATGTCATAGGGATTTAAGCATATCATTTGTGGTAGGGTTTTAACAGTCTATTTTATAACTGCCATCCAAAATGTTCTGAAATTTTACTGTGAATCTTTTTCTTTTATTTTCATTCATTCTCTTCATTTTCATTGCACTGTAGAGATAAGTTACATAAAATGAATAAAATTATCAATTTTATCAGTACAATACACTGTAGGTTCACTTTAATATGTGAGATAATGTTTTTCTTTTTCTCTTTTCCGCAGTAAAATGAGGATTACCAATTCCTTGAAATTCTTTAGTACTTAAGATCTTATACATTTGAGTTTGAGGCTCTAGTAAGGAAAGAGAAGTGTTTCATTGCTATTTCAATTCTTTAAAACATTGGTTTATTCAACTATTTTACCAATATTGACTTTTTTTATTTTTCATAAACTTATTTTGTTTAAGCTACCATACTAGTGATGTATAGGTAATAATATTTTTAATACTCTAGTTGTGACTATAATCATATCTCCTTCATGTCTGATTACATTGTTATATTGATTTGTCTTTCTTACTCTGCCATTCCCATTTTAACTAGTTTGAGATTTTTTTTAAACAAATATTATTCTGGTGTTATTGGGGTTTGAGCCTAGGACCTCTGATTGCCAGGCAGGCATTCTACCACTTTAGTCCTTTCTGCTTTAAGTATTTTTCAAATTTCTGCAGGGGCCTGCCTGGATTGTGACCCTCTTATTTATACTTCCAGTGTAGCTTGGATAAAAGGTGTGTACCACCAAGTCCAACTTTTGTGGATTGAGATCAACATCTCCAACTATTTTCTGATATATAATTTAAAATTCTGATTATCTACTCCTTTTGGATTCTTTATCATTTAACAGTAAACTATGGAAACAAGTACCAATCCTTCCTTCTTTTCTTTTCTTTTTCTTTCTTTTTTTTTTTTTTTCTGTTGTGGGGCTTGAACTCTGGGCTCAGGCGCTGTCCCTGAGCTCTTCAGCTCAAAGCAAGTGCTCTACCACTTTAAGCCACAGCACATCTGTTTTTCTGATGGTTAATTGGAGATAAGAGTCTCACAGACTTTTGGGCTGGCTTTCAACTATGATCCTCAGCTCTCAGCCTCCAGAATAGCTAGGATTATAGGTGTGAGCCACTGGCACCAGGCAATGTAATGTATTTTTAAGTACAAGAGAAGGAAGGATTGAAGCCTAGTCTTAGCTACTCAGGAGGCTGAGATCTTATGATCACAGTTCAAAGCCAGCTCAGGCAGAAAAGTCCATGAGACTCTTATCTCCAATAAACCACTCAGAAAACCAGAAGTGGAACAGTGGCTCAAGTGATACAGCACTAGCCTTGATCTGAAGAGCTGAGGAACAGTGTTCAGACCCAGAGTTCAAGCCCCATCATCGACAAAAACAAAAAACAAAAGCAAAAACAAAATACATTCTCCTGTCTTTATGCAAAAATAGTTGCTGCAGAAAGTTTTTGTATTCTTATAATTTTTAGAGTTCTCATTAAAAAGAACTCTTTTGTTACTCTACTTGAGTAGAAAATCTTTCTGAGTAGCAAATATTTTTCTTTTCTTTTTTTTTATTTTTTTGTTGGCTATGGGGTCTGGGCATTGTCCCTCAGCTCTTCAACTCAAGGGAAGCACTCTACCACTTGAGCCACAGCGCCACTTCTGGCTTTTTCTGCTTATATGATTCTGAGGAATCAAACCCAGGGCCTCATGCATGCAAGTCAAGCACTGTATCAGTGAGCCACCTTCCAGCCCCGCATTTTTTTAACTTTTAATGTATTTTTTTGTTATTAAGGTATTGTACAGAGGGGTTACCATTTCACAACTCAGGTAATGTATGTTTCTCTTTTGGACAATGTCACCCCTTCCTTCATTTTCTCCCAGTTTCTCCCTCCTGTCCATGCCCACAAGTTACATAGTTTATATACTGAATGACATGATTACATTTGTTCACCCTTCCTCTTCCCTTTCTGTGACTACCTCTTTTTGTAACCAATCCAAAGCAGAAAAATAAAAATGAAAAGCACACACTGTGAGAGCCCAAAAATTCCAAGCTGTGAGACCCCCTAAAAGGATTAGGAGTTTGGAATGCCTTCTCCCAATACAAGCTCAGAATGATGAGAATTTTCCTAAAAGGCTTAATGGGAACTCAAATTCCACTATTAACTGTGTGGGAGCCTATAGGTAGACTTAGGTTTATGCAAATTATAGGCTGTTTACTATTTAGTCCTCCTTTCAGAATAAGAAGGTCAATTGTATACAAAATATTGTCATATGTTTAAGTTTGTACCATACTTCCTTGCACAAGACCAATAAAAACCTTGGTTAATGGAACCTTGGGATCTGTTGTGGTGGAAGTAAGTCTACAGGTCCCCTGGTACCCCAAACCTCAGTTCCATGGTCTGGTCTGGTCTCTGTTACTGTGTTACTCCTGGTTGCGGCAGGTTGCAACAACACACAAACACCACCACCATCAACAACAACAACAACATAACATGATTCTGTTTCCTAGAACTCATTTTTATAATAGTATTTTACATGTTCAGAAGATTTATGCTTTTGGGTTCCTCCCATTCTAGTATTCTCCTTTGGTCTGGCTGAGTGTGAATGTTGCATATAGGTTATTATGTCCCATTATATTTTAGATCTAGCTTCCACATATGAGAGATACATACATCATTTGCCTCTGAGCATGGCTTACCTCACTTAACATGATTTGTTTTAGGTTCATCCATTTCCCTGCAAATGAAATAATCTTGTTCTAATGGATGAGTAATATGTATATATACTATGTATGTGTGTATATGTACTATATTTTGTGGATCCACTCATCTACTCTAGGGTATCTGGGCTGTGTCCATAATTGGGCTATTGTGAATACAACAGCAATGAACATGGTATGTTGGCTTTATGGCTTTATGGTATCCTGACTTGTAACATTCTGGGTAGATGCCCAGGAGTGGTATGGCTGTTTCAAAGAGAAATTCTGTTTAGTTTTTTTGTTTCTCTTTATATAATACATACATATATATATATATATATAGTAAAAATACTGTACAGAGGGTTACAGTTACATGAGTAGGGTAATGAGTACATTTCCTATTGAGCATTGTTACTTCCTCCTGTTGTTTTTCCTCTACCATTCCTTCCCTCCCCGTCTCCCCACTATGTTTAGTTTTTTGAGGAACCTCCAAACTGCCTGCCAGAATAAATGTATCAGTTTTGAATGTACCTTTTCCCCCACATCCCCACCAGCATTTTTGGTTGTTTGAATTATTGATGGTGGACAATTTAACTAACTGGGATGAAATGGAATCCCAAAGCTGTTTTTTTTTAGATTTTAAATTTTTATTGTAAAGGTGATGTACAGAGGGGTTACAGTTACATAAGTCAGGTAATGAGTACATTTCCTTTTGAGAAGTGTCATCCCTTCCCTCATATTTCCCCAGTTTTTCTCCTCCTGAT